AGAAATTTGAACGACTAGAGGGAACTAACCACATGGAAAGAGAGATCCAGACATAAGGCATGGTATTTAATATATTCTAGAAGTGTGATGTTGCCCTTAGTATTGGCACATTTAGGTGACCAATAAAATATATTGGAGGGCTGGGGATGTGGCTCAAGCGGTAGCGCGCTCGCCTGGCATGTGTGCGGCCCGGGGTTTGATCCTCAGCACCACATACAAACAAAGATGTTGTGTCCGCCGAGAACTGAAAAATAAATATTGAAAAATTCTCTCTCTCTTTAAAAATAAATAAATAAATAAATAAATAAATAAATAAAATATATTGGGTAGAATATGCCGGGTGCCGTGGTACATGCATATGACTACTTGGAAGGTTGAGGCAGAAGGATTGCAAATTGGACGTCAACTTGGGCATTTTAGTGAAGCCCTATCTCAGCAAACAAACCTCCAACATTGGATAGATAAATGAATTAGTGTATTAATGGAAAGGGCCAACATCATTATTCTCTTTGTAAAAATAAATGAAACATTAGCAAATGCAAGCTCCTCGGGCAAGTTGATTGTCTGTGTTTCAAATAATATCTACTATTTGCAGAAAGTCTGTGTTGGCTGGATTAAGATTTGTAAAGGCTTTAAGTACTGAGAGTCACGGTGGCCATTTTATGTGTCACTAACAAAACAAAGCAAACAACAAACACCAGTCTGTAACATGAGGATTGGCATGACCAACAAAGAACTCATTGGTTTTCCCTGTGATGATTACTTCAATACTTGTTCATTTAAAAAAAAGTACTTTATGCTTATTGAGGTTTGATTTAAATATAAGAAATTTAAAATCTTAAATGTACAGCTTAATTTTACATGTGATGCACCCATATCAAGATATAGAGAATTCTAGTACCTCAGATGGCTCCCAGCCAAGCCCATACTATCCTGCCACAGGTAACTCCTATTCTAGTCTTTATCACCATAGATGCGTTTTGCTCCTTTGTGTACTTCATATAAATATGGATTCTCTCGTCTTTATTTTCTTCTACTCAACATTATGTTTGTGAGATTCATCCATGTGCGGGGCAGTAATTTGTAATTTGTTCATTTTCATTATTATACAGTATTGAAATATATGAACAAATTATATTCCTGTACATGTTTTTTGTTGGACATAAACAATCATTTCTTTTTTTGTGTGTGTGTGTATATTCAGGAGTGAAATTGCTGGGTCATAGGATAAACCAATGTTTACTTATTTCTTATGGTGTTGGGAATTGAACCCAGGGCCTCAGGAATGCTAAGTACACACGCTATAGCAATGAGCTAGGCCTCCGGCTCCCTAACATATTTATTTCTAAAATGACAAACTCACTCAAAGAGTTTTTGGGATGTTCCTACTTTTTTTGGTACCAGATGCTGTCCTAGATGTTTTATATTTATGAACTCTTTTAGTTCTTACCACAGTCCCACAAAGTATGAAGCAGCCAGGAAGCAGAGCAGCTTAGTGGTTAGGTCTCTTGCCCATAGTCGCAGATCTGGTAAACAAGCCCGAGAGTCAAGCTATTTGGGCTATTCTTCCTGTGAGATACAGTAAAAGCGCCTTAGTGTAAAGGATTGGCTCACATGATTATGGGCTGGGAAATCTCCTGTCTGCTATCTGTAGCTGGAGAATCAGGAAAGCCAATGGTGGAGTTCTAGGCCAAACCCGAAGGTCTGAGAACCAGGGGAGCCCATGGGCTAAGTTCCAGTCCAAGTCCAGAGGCCTAAGAACCCAGGACTCATGTTGAGAGTCCCAGTCTGACTCTGAAGACAGAGAATGAGGAGCACTGAAGTCCAAGGGCAGGAGCGGATGGATGTTCTCCCTGAGGCAGGAAGCAAATTTGTCCTTCCTTTGTCTTTTGGTCTTTTTGTTTGAGGTCCTTACTGGACTGGATGTGGCCCACCTGAGTAGGTGAGAGTGAGGCTCTTCATTGTCCACCCATTCAAATGCTAACCCTCACAGCCATATCTAGAAATAATCTCTTAGCCAGTCAAGTTCACCATCACAGCCTCCTCATCCAGCTTTGGGCCCTCTGGGGTTCCGGGCTCTGTATGAATTCTTTACATTAGTCTCATTGACGTGTGTGTGTTTTCTTTCTTTTATTAGTGGATGAACTCCTTTTATATCTTCTATCATTCCACCACAGTCTACTATTTATGGTTGGCACTTGGAAACTGTTGACTAGTGGCCACAGAAGGGAGGTGAGACCAATGTAAAAATATAGTATAGAATGAAAAGTGCCCTCACCAGGATGTAAACAAAGCAATGTAGACACACCACGGCTGTTTATACCGGAGTAGGGAAGCCCTCACGATAGAAGTGGTATCTGGACTGAAACCGAAAGGTTGAAGAATTTTGCCTTGTCAAGAGAAGATGGAGCCAGGCAGGCACACACCTGTAAACCCAGCAACTTGGGAGGGTGAAGCATAAGGATTTGCAAGTTAGAGACAACCTCAGCATCTTAGCTAGACCCTGTCTCAAAATAAAAACAATAAAAAGGGCTGGGGGTGAAGTTCAATTCAGTGGAAAAGCACCCCAGGCTTCAATCCCAGTACCACAAAAAGAAGGAGAGAAAGGGTGGTGGGGGGGGGAGGGAGGAAAGAAGGAGGTGGGGAAGGAGAAGTGAGGGAGAGAGGGAGAGAAAGAGAGAGGAGGAAGCATATCTGTCAGGGGCAACTGTATGTGCAACCTCATGGAGTTTCAGAGAGGCCATGCTCACCTAATGAATGGTGCACAGTGCAATACAGGGGTGGGGGGTGGTGAGACAGGTGGAGCTAAAGGGAGGGAGAGGGGTCAATGGCTGGAATGGTGGAATGGCTCTAGAATACAAAATAAATGCCTGCTTAACTAAACTGTCTGAGAAGGAACTCAGTTGCCTTTGGTGAACGATCCCAGAGGTGTTAAAGGAAATAAGATCCAGCCTATTTGTAATGGTGTATACTTTTACAAATTGCCTGCTCTATTTTCTTTTATAATAGCTCTGGTAAGAACTAGGAAGGGAGCTCTTGGGAGCAATAGAGAGTAAATGAGTCTGGAATAATTTGTAAGATATTGGCCTATCTGGACTTATCTAAAAGGGTTTTGTATGGAATCTAAACTATTAAGTATATGAAAGCAAGGCTGGATAAGTTAAGTTACTTCATTAAGCCTAACATCTGGTTAGGTCAGAATTATCTTTGGTTACATTCCACAATTGAGGAAACACTCCCATCACTGTTGATTGGATTTGAGCGTTGTGCAAATCTATAAGAGCATTCTTACCCAGTTATCACTGCAGATTGCTGATATTAACTAATTTAACTCCCAGAGTTCACCAGCCTGCCTCCATTTTTCTAGAAGCATTTCATCACAGACTTACTAGTCTCAATTATCTGCATACCCACAGTCCAATAACACACTCAATAAGAGCTGATTGAATAAAGATGTGGATAAAGGAGAGCATTAGAAAAGAGCTCAAAGAAAAGAATTTAAATCAGTTCTTTTCTCCAGTGAGACACTAAGGAAAGAATGAAAATGGTGTGAGGGAGGTAAAACCTCTTTGGGAAAGAAGAAACAGAAAAACTTTGCAGAAAGGTTTCTAGGAAAGGTGGGTGGAGAATCACCGTAGTCATTAGAACCAGCAGGTAAAGTTACTCTTCAGGAGCTGGCTCTAAAATCTAAGGGAGTGAGGAGAGGTAGACAAGGAGAGCTGGGAGAAAAAGGCTGAAGAGGTAAGAAGTAACTGGCTGGATATGCTGTTGAGACAAAGGGAAGAGCAAATGCTGGCTTAGGTACTGTAACACGGAGCAAGCTGTCAAGAGATCCACGAACGAACTGAGAGTAGACTAGCAAATTTTATTTAAAGCAGAAAATGCACCTGCAGCATGGGAAGGGTCCCAAGACAAAGTACCACTGTTCTGTCTAGCGGTTTTTATGGGATGATCTGTCCCTATAGGTGATCGATGGGATAACAGGTAAAAAGATTCAGAAAGAGGCCAATCAACTCTCTCTATTTTGTCTTCTTCAGCAAATCAGGAAAGAGTAATTTCTAAGCCTCTATTAGCATAAGGGTGGGGGTTGAGGGTCTGTTGGCGCCAGAGGCAGTGCTATAGAGAACGTTTTGCGGTTGGTCGTTGCTAGGGGGTATTTAAGGAACTATTTTTGTGGCTTAAAATAGCTGGGGTCGGAAGCTTGATTTCCCTATCCTCTCTTATCTCTTCTCTAGAAAGAAGAGAGACTCTTCTTCTAGTTGTCTATGGGTGGTCTTTCTGTCTCAGAACCTGGAATTTCCTTGGTGCAATTCAGGGAAAGAGGACAAAAAGGGCGAGCGTTCTTTGCATGAGTTCTGATGTTTAAGGACAATCAGGTTGAAGTATCTGGTAAGCAGTTAGATAAGAGGGTCTGAGCTCCTGAAACCAATGTGGATATTCGTTGAAAGCACAGAAAGTGGGCTAGACACCTCAGGAAGAATGAAGATCTGTGGGTAGGGAGACAGTCATTTGCAGACTTAGGAGTGGGCAGAGGAACAGAAACAGGATAAGAAAAGTCAGATAAGAAAAACGAACGGCGACATTTTGAGAACCAAGCCACCAAGTTGCAAGGCGTTACCGGACGCCTCCTGGAGGTCAAGAGAAGGATAACATATTCTAGCCCTCGGTCAAACTCAATTCCAAGACTGCGCAGGGATGTGGGGGTGGGGCGAAGCCACCCACCAAACTGAGGGCAAAGGAAGGACGCAGCCCCAACCGTTGATTCTTTAAAGGAGCCTGGCTGTGACGAGACAGAAAGGGTGAGAGGTGGAGGGTTGGTTTAGGGCTCAAGGGGATAACTGGCTGCGGAATCCCATACAGGAGTAATTATCCGTCTACTTGAGGGCTTCTGTATTATTTAGGTTCCTTTTGGGGATCTCCCTACCCTAAACAGGAAACAAAACAATGCGACAAGTTGCCACTCTAAAATAGAGAATGGCTTTGGTCTGAAACCCTTCTCTTTAAAAATCCTGGTATGCAAATAAGGGGACTTAATGTGGCTCTCAGCGATTGGTAGGTACTTAAAAAATCCGTCATTTCCTTGTTGCAAACCAGAAGTCTGTTTTCTGCTCCCCTATTGGCTGCCTGAGCCGGCTCCGTTTGCAGCCAATCAAACTAGTTCCCCTCACCCCTCCCGGTAGCTCTTATAAATTACATCAAATTGGTTATCCTTTCCACATCCTTCTCCTTGAAAAAGAAGCTCTAGCCGCATTTTTAGCCGTCATGTCAGGACGCGGAAAGCAAGGAGGCAAGGCCCGCGCCAAGGCCAAGTCGCGCTCCTCGCGCGCTGGCCTCCAGTTCCCGGTGGGCCGGGTGCACCGCCTGCTGCGCAAGGGCAACTACGCCGAGCGGGTGGGGGCCGGCGCGCCCGTCTACCTGGCGGCGGTGCTCGAGTACCTGACGGCCGAGATCCTGGAGCTGGCTGGCAACGCGGCCCGCGACAACAAGAAGACGCGCATCATCCCTCGCCATTTGCAACTAGCCGTGAGAAACGACGAAGAGCTCAACAAGTTACTCGGGGGTGTCACCATCGCTCAGGGCGGCGTGTTGCCCAATATCCAGGCCGTCTTACTGCCCAAGAAAACGGAGAGTCACAAGCCTGGCAAGAACAAGTAACTAGGCTGGGTACCACCCCCTCACCCCAAAGGCTCTTTTAAGAGCCACCAAAAGTGTCAAGCGAAGGGCTGATCACAAGTAGCGCATTAGCTCTTTTTTTGAAAACTTGGGTGGCTCTAAAAAGAGCCTTTGGTCTTTGGTTTAGCTGGTCAGCGTTTATTTGCTTTTGGCTTTGTGGCTTTCGGTTTTCTTTGGTAACAACACGGCCTGGATGTTGGGCAGGACGCCGCCCTGGGCGATGGTCACTTTGCCCAGCAGCTTGTTCAGCTCCTCGTCGTTGCGGATGGCCAGCTGGAGGTGACGGGGGATGATGCGCGTCTTCTTGTTGTCGCGGGCCGCGTTGCCAGCCAGCTCCAGGATCTCGGCCGTCAGGTACTCGAGCACCGCCGCCATGTAGACGGGCGCGCCGGCCCCCACCCGCTCGGCGTAGTTGCCCTTGCGCAGCAGGCGGTGCACCCGGCCCACCGGGAACTGGAGGCCAGCGCGCGAGGAGCGCGACTTGGCCTTGGCGCGGGCCTTGCCTCCCTGCTTTCCGCGTCCTGACATGACTAATGCGAGCGTTTAGACCAGCAGAAACGTTAGATATCCCCCACAAGATTGAAAAAGCACCAAAAAGAAACCCTTTATAAGCTTTCCTAGGGGTGGGGTCAGGAGCGAGGTTTTCATTGGTCCTAATTTGGCTCCAGAAACGGCCAATAAAATCGAGAGTCGTTATTGTTACGTAGGTTTTGCTGAAAACGCAAGGTCCCTACATGGACCAATGAAAGCGAAGGACTTTTTGAGCCCTAATTTGCATAAGGTGGTTATAAAAGGATCAGGCCCGCCCATCCCCTTAATTCTTCCCCTGGCTGAGCCCTGTTGGCTCCGTGTTTTACCATGCCTGAACCCGCCAAGTCCGCTCCGGCCCCCAAGAAGGGCTCCAAGAAAGCCGTCACCAAGGCCCAGAAGAAGGATGGCAAGAAGCGCAAGCGCAGCCGCAAGGAGAGCTACTCCATCTACGTGTACAAGGTGCTGAAGCAGGTGCACCCCGACACGGGCATCTCGTCCAAGGCCATGGGCATCATGAACTCGTTCGTCAACGACATCTTCGAGCGCATCGCCGGCGAGGCGTCCCGCCTGGCGCACTACAACAAGCGCTCGACCATCACGTCGCGGGAGATCCAGACGGCGGTGCGCCTGCTGCTGCCCGGGGAGCTGGCCAAGCACGCCGTGTCCGAGGGCACCAAGGCGGTCACCAAGTACACCAGCTCCAAATGAGTCCTGCCCGGACTTGGCGCTCTCTAGCCGCTTTTCTCCAAAGGCTCTTTTAAGAGCCACCCACTTAATCAGCAGAAAAGAGCTTGGTTCACTTGTACTCCCTTAGTTCTAAACGGTCTAGGAGATGGCACAAGTAGTTTTTAAACATTTGTAACTTGAGGTTCCGGGTGCGTGACTGGACTTGCTTTCGATCCTAAAAGCGCGTCATTCCTCCTATTGCGCTGCTTAGCTTTCTTAGTACTAAACTGGGATGCTAGGGGTCTGTCCTTTCTCCTCCCAGCCCCACACCGTTGTGTTCTGGTGGCTTTGTTGGGTGTGTTTTATTGACCTAAAACAAAGTCGTGGTTTACGAGGACCCCAGGACAGAAACCCGACTCCAGCGAACGCTGACAGCTCGGTACGATTGAAGCCTGACCGCAGCTGGTGTATCCAGCCGCCAGCTCGACCCTGCGAGGTGTCCTTCGAGGTGTCGTGTGTGTACCGCGGGTTTTGTGTACTTAGGGCGGAGCCCGCGCAGCCGGGCCCTCAACTTTTCCTGATTGGGCGACACGAATATTTAAAATTTCCCGCTGCTGCGGAATACTTACCACTCCCCCTTGGGTGTTTAAAATCCTTTCTGGATTTGTGGATCGTTTTCACATTTAATGCTCTGTGCTTGGAACGCTGCGCTGCGCTCCCACGGCAGTGCAAAGCGCTTTCGTCATTTAGATCTGGGCTCAAAAGTCATCTTGAATATACCTTTTTAAGCCATCCACTCAGGAATTCACTCCTTTCTTTCCTGCCTGGCTGTTTTGTCTTCCTCCTAACGAGCTGAAATTGGTTTATTTGTTCTTAATTATGATCTTTCTCCTTATCCTTGACAGGCTTTGCGGGTCTGACTTCCCACTGTGCCTTAAGTGCAAACCAATGCCTGGCACATAGAGGACAAACAGTACTTACTGAATTAATATTTATTGAGTTAATTTTTCTACCCACCCCTTTCTTCCTTGCTTCTTTTCCATTAGAGGTATGTGAAGACAGGATGAAAATGGATATATTTTTGCGGCTCCTTTCCCAAATCTGCCCTTAGTCACAGTGCAACAGCTGGGGGTTTGGGGGCATGTTAAGATTCTCTTTGTGAAAGAGGAGGCTGCAATAGGTCCTACCTTTATGCCTCACAGTTTAGTGTAACCTTCAGATTTCCATTGAAATCAGAATGTTGGTCGTTGCAAAGAGCCCTCTTTTTTCACCCCCTACTCTCCACCCTGCATTGCCTCAATCCTGGTTTTCTATTCCCCACTGAGAAGAGGTTTTAATTTATAGTTGCTACCTCATTTGCTTCTCAGAAGACTCTGCAAGACAGGTGGGACAACAGAATTAATATTTTTTTTTTATAGATGAGGCTGAGAGAAAGCATGTAGCTAACACTATTTTTGTATCCTCCTATGAGAGGACAATTGCATTTTAGTTTTATTTTGTGGAGTTAGAGAATATTGAGTCTTTCTGTTCAAACCTTGATTTTGTGGATTAAGACACTAAGGTCTGATCATTTACTTCTGGAGCTGATTGCAGGGATTTCATGAATCCAAAGGAACTTCAGAAATTATCACAGACTGACTATATGGCATGTTTCCTACATGTGTTTTCAAATGTGTGTAGACACTACAGTTATTAATAAAGTTACCAATTAATCTAAAAGCTTGTCTGCAATTTATTTCTTTCAATAAATTAAATCAACATATACTTCCACCTGTGGTTGGGTCTGGGGAAAAGCTGGGTGTCTCTGACCTGGAGGATGAATATTTATAAGCCATCAGTCACTTCTACCCTAGGTGTACGCTTGGGCTGAAATAGCCTATTACAGGTTCACTATTAGTGCTTAATGACTGAGAAATATATAACCATAAATAAGCACTACAAATAGTGGAAGAAATAAAGCCCTTAATAAAGTGTAGCTAACATGAAACACATGCAATGTGCCAGGTAGTATCATATAGGCCCTTTGTACATATTGGCTCATTTAATCCTCAGAAAAAAACCTCATGAAGTACCTTTATTACCTTCCATTTTATAGATAACAAAATTGAGGCAGAGAGATGTCTTTCCTCATAAATTCTTCAGAGAATAAGCTCCCTGATTAATGCTTAAGGGACTTGAGGAAGTAGGGTTACTCTTGAAAGCCTGGACACCTCCCTGGATTTTGGGGGGGAATATCTATGCTTTGAAATGAAAAGCAACATCACCCACCTACTTTATTCTCCTCAGAACACACCCTGGATATAAATCTGGGGTAGTGATGGTTGACCTTGAAAGTAGTATTGGAGGACTCTGGTTCTCCATCCCAGAGAGATGGAGAATGTGTATGTGTCGGGTGGGGTGGGGGACTCCACAGCTAGGATACTTTGACTAGCATAAGAGAGCTTTCCTTGCTAGTCAGGGGCTCCTCCTGGGAATGATTCTCACTAGAAAGGCAGTTACCGAGCAAGGAAGGAGGAAGTGGTGATAGAATTTGGTATATTAATTCTGGAGGGAAAGTGATCAATAATGGTGCGATTAGTTCTTGTAAAGAACCTCTTTAAACACTTCTTTCTCTTGCTCAGGCGTCTTTTAATGTTTGCTTAGGTAGGGTTAACAACAATTCCAGTTACTGAGCACTTAGTCTCCTGCCAAGTGGCTTACATTCATTGTCTAATCTTCACTGCCACCTTTTAAGATAGGTCCCATTTTTGTCATCTTTCTTTTGCAGATAAAGGAAACTAAATCTCAGAAAGGTTAAGTGACTTGTCCAGTATCATTCAGAAAGAAGTGGAACTACAATCCAATGCACACTTTTAAAAAGCTTAATAATCAATCCCTCCCATAATCTGCCTTTTCTTTCTTTCACAGGTCTCTCTCCTACTGCTCTGCTACACAGGTTTTCTGCTATAGTCAGAATGGTCTGTCTCCTTCCTCTTAACCCATTTGTTCCTTTTCCAATTATGTACTGAACAGAACTTTACTGAGGCATCATTGGCATATGAAGGAACTCAGATGGGAAAGATGAGACATAGACAAATATCTATTCTATTCAACTGGGAAAGTGTTAAGATTTCACCTTAATTCTTCTAGGCTGAAAACTGCTCTTGTCCATCCAGTATTCTGCTATGAGAGTAACCTATAGCGCAGATCTGATCTCATTCCCCCTCCAGCCTTCACAAAACTCCAGTGGCCTGTTTCATGCCTCAGCTTGGCTTTCAGAAGAAAAAAAATAAATGTGAAACGTCATCAACAATTCTTTAACCATATTTGGGCTTTCCATTTGGTTTATAGAGTCCTGTGCCTTTAGGAGGGACATAATGTGGCCCTTCAGTAATTCTGACACAGAAGTAGGCCTAAGGGGCGGCGCTGTCTGACCTCTAACTGAGACTGCTCTTGTGACTAGGGAGGGTGGGATTAATTGATGATTTAATATTTATAATTGAAAATCTGTACCTACTTTTATAAATATCCCTTAAATATCTGTTAATAGTATTAAGTTCTATAAGAAAGTCACAAGGGCCATTACCTCTTAGACTCTGCAGCACTATTAGGTCTGGTCTCATCATTCAATAGTCTAGCCAGGTGCGGCAGTGCACATCTATGATTTCTGCTACTAGGAAGCTGAGGCAGAAGGATCATATTTGAGGCCAACCTGGGTAACTTAGCTAGATCCTGCCTTAAAAATAAAAGATAAAAAATAACAAGAAAGAGGGCTGGGATTGTGGCTCAGCAGTAGAGCGCTTGCCTAGCATGGGCAGGACCCGGGTTCGATTCTCAGCACCACATAAAAATAAAAGGCATTGTGTTGTGTCCATCTAAAAAAAGCAAAAACCAAAAAAACAAGAAGGGCCGGGAATGTGGCTCAGTGGTTAAGCGCCCTTGAGTTCAATTTCTAGTAATCTGTCCCCCACAACCAAAAAAAGTCAGTAAAGGTTATGTGGGCAGTGGGTTCAATGATCATTTAAAAAAAAAAATTTAAAAAGATCCTAGTGCTGTGAGAATACCTTTAATAAAAATAACATACTTCTAAGTATCTATCCTAGTACCTGGCACCTAATAGACCCTCAATACATTTTAGTTAATTCTGAAGAACAGCTTGAAAAGCTTCAACAATGCAAACTACAATCAACTTAAACTAAGGGCGTCAATAACAACTACAACTCCCCCCAAAGTCCCTGGGGTCTATGAGCTGACCCCTAGGTCTGACACTGGGACTTCACTATTCTCAGTCCTACTTAAAAAAAAAAAATCAAAGTCATGAGCCACTGCTCTACAGAAGGTGTTCCCCAGAGTGACTTTCTTAACTAGCCAACTTCACTAATGAGGCCTACGTCACAGGTCTGTCATCAGACAGGCCAAGAGAGCCAGGCAAGCCCCGTAAGGACTGGGTGGCAGAGGAATGTGAAACCAGGTCGTGGAGATGCGAGTTGATAACCAACCCCAGGGGAGTTAACGTGGTTCTTGAGCCAGTCAAGGGCAATGCTTTGAGAGGGTTACTCTGACTGAGAATCGCAGGATAGAATGAAGAAGGAGACCACAGGAAACTAGAAATCTGTGGGGAGGCCATTGTGACTCATAAATTCGGTCTCAGACAGGAATAGAGACTGCAGGAAGAAAGAAGATACTAAAAAGCCATGGTTTGCATGAAGGAGGCAAAAGAGCTATGTTCGTTTTCTATTGCCACGTAAAAATTTACCACAGGTTTAGTGGCTTAAGATAATAATCTCTCTCTCTCTCTCTCTCTCTCTCTCTCTCATACACCTACCCACCCCCCATACACACACACTCGTACTGGGCATTGAACCCAGAGTCACTTTACCGTTGAGTTATAGCCCTACTTCTTGTTCATTTTTTATTTTGAGGCAGGGTCTCACTAAGTTGCCCAGGCTGGTCTCAAACTTGGAACCCTCCTGCTTCAGCCTCCTGAGTCACTGGGATGACAGGTGGTATGTCCCCTCTGCCCAGCTGACAATACTAATGTATTATCCCATAGTTTCTGTTGGTCTGGGCAAGGCATAATTGAAGTCTTTTCATAGGACTGAAAACCAGATGTCCACTGAAACATGGGGTCTTCTTGCAGTTCATGCGGTTCCTGGCAGACCATAGTTCCTTGTGGTTGTAGGTTTGAGACCTTCTCTTGTCGAGGTGGCCCTCTCCACAGGCAGGTTAAACATGCATATTTGCTTCTAAAGGCCAGCACCACATATTCCCGTTGCTTCAGTGATTTAATTCACTGAGGATACCTGACTAAGGGTGTGCCTTTTTATTAGCTCAAAGTGAACAAATTAAGGTCTTAATTACACCTGCAAAATCCCTTCAACTTTGTCGTTCATATGTATGTGTGTGCATATATACATATATGTGATATGCATATATTTATTTTATTTTATCTTATCTTTTGGTATTGAACCCAATTACTACACCCCCAGTACTTGAGATAGGGGCTCACTGAGTTGTTGTTGAGGCTGGACTTGAACTCCTGATCCTCCTGCATCACTGGGATTATAGGCGTGCACCACCATAGCTGAGCTGTCGTCATTGTCTTCTCCTTCTTCTCTCCTTCTCTCTCCTTCTCCTTCTCTCTCTCTCTCTCTCTCTCTCTCTCTCTCTCTCATTGGATGCAAAGCACTGGCTCTGCTTCTGCTCAAAGGAAGGCCAAAGGCTCCCAGAGGTCAGCAATCACGAGGTCTGTCCTAGAATTCTTCTACTGCAGGAACAAAAAGAATTATCTGGATTTAAGTCAGACACTTTTCTGTGATTTAAATTAACTTTAAATTAAGGAGTAAAAAGAAAAAAAAAATCCTCAGGCGCTGAAAGCCTTCAATGTGCCAAGTGCTATAAACAACACTTTGAATCCTCAGAGGAATCCCTGAAAGGTCAAAGTTAGGATTCTTATTTTACAGTGGAGAATACGGAGGTTCAAACACGTCAAATCCCTTGGGAGTTTCCTTCTTGTACATCACATTGTTTCTGAGCAACTCTCCAAGGTAAATGTTATCCCCATTTCACAAAGGGAGAAACTATACAGTTTAAATAACCTGGTATTCTCGGATCACCCTGATGCTCCTGACTTTTACTAGAATATGAGCCTAATCTTTTCAAATCAGAAATAATCTGAGGACCTATCAATATGTTTGCCTTATAGAAACATAGAATATCACTGGTGCTGGAAAATTCAGAGATCATCTGGTCTACTAAATTTCCTTATGTTTTCTTTCTGATTTCAGGATAAAACCTTTTTCTGCTTTTCGGTCTCCATCAGATCCCCACGTGGTGCAGATGTTCCTCATCTTTGGGGCCCTCTCTTCAGAAGTAGGTCTAGCTCCCTGGGCAGGTGGGAGAAGCCAGCTGATCTCTCGCTCTGCCTGGAAGACAGTGCCACTTGTCATCTGCCAGCTCTGACCCAGCGTGGTCTGAAGTCAGCTCTCCAGTGGCTCCCCCTAAGAGAAAAGAGGGGCTGTAGCTGTAGCTCAGTGGTAGAATGCTTGCCTCACACAGGTGAGGCACGGAGTTCGATCCTCAGCAGCACATAAAAATGAAGACATCGTGTCCATAAAAAAAAAAAATACACTATTAAAAAAAAAAGAGCTGGGGTTATGGCTCAGCAATGCTTGCCTAGTATGTGTGAGCACTGGGTTGATCCTCAGCACCGCATAAAAATAAATAAATAAAATAAAGGT